TTTTCCTCATTACCTTTTGATTAATTTTCAGATCTAAACACTAAAACCTAAACCTCTAAACCCTAAAATCTAAATTGTAAATCTTCAAATCACTAAGGCTGCATATGGAATGAGTGTAAGAGTGTAAAGTTTTACATTGATTGCCGATGTAAAATTTTAGAGATGATGAGGTTTATATCTATTATCGACGTAAATCACCATTCTTTCCCATATTTTTCACATGATAAAACTGCATGTCCTCCAATCGAGTAGAAGCCACGTATTTTCCATTTAAACATAAGGCAAATTGCAAAATTCCCCATGTTTTACACATGATGAAATCGTATATCCTCCAATTGAGTTGAAGCCAAATATATATTTTTCGTGGGTGATGTGATCCCAGAGGATTTGGAGACGATAGCCCACTCATGATTGGGGTCGACCACCACATACTGCAAGTCGTGCACCAACTGCATGCGCTTCAGCCAGGTGTCGATGAAGAGAATTCGCCCCTCATGCCGAGGTCCTTAGCTCAATCCTATGATGACCGACATAGTCCTACGATGGACGACCTGGTCTTGAGATGGCCAACTTGGTCCTATGATGGCCGACCTAGTCTTGCGATAGGCGACCTGGTCTTGTGATGGCCAACCTAGTCCTGCGATAAGCAACCTAATCCTACAATGGGTGATCTGATCTTGTGATGGACAACCTGGTCCTGAGATTGCCGATCTAGTTTTAGATTGAGATGCATACGTGACACTGAGGTGTTGAAGAATGGTTCGGAGCCACCACATAGCTCAATGTCACTGGAGTGTGAAATCGCCCCATATAAAAAGCAAACTGTGAGAATCAGTTATTAAAACTAGCAAGCTAGCTTATCAAAGAATGAACATATATTTCACAATAAAAAATCTACCATGAAATTGAAATTCTAAGAGAGAAAAATAGTAACCGTTGGGAGCAATGTTTTCAAAACCAAACCGGATTGGACCGGAAAATTCGGGAATCGGTCACCTGACCGGTTCCGTTTTCCTCCAAAACCGTTGATTTTGGTCCGCAAACTGCTGAATCAGCCGATTAACCGTTCGAACCGTTTCAATGATTTTAACCGCTTTCCAAATTTTTAAAATTTGTTATTTATTTTTTGTCAAAACAAGCCAACCATTCGAACCTTTCGAACCAGCAACCGGATCCATAAACGATTTGATTTTAAAAACCATGATTGGGAGTGGTGCAGAGTTAACGGGGGCTTTTATAATTGTAAGGTCTCGCTATTTGTACAACTAGCCGAAGGGACCCCTGAAAGGAGAGTGTCTTATCATGCACAAGATAGAACATAAAAGGTAGTTTAAAGCAGATGTCGAGAAAAAGAAAAATACGTTGGGGAGGTTAATTTATGCAATTTAAATACCCTCACAAGCATATAGGATATTGGAATCCATCAAAATCATAAAAAAGACGACAAGACAACGTTGGCTCCAACTCGGCAGCGTACCATCACATTTGATATTCATCACTTCATATTTTCTTTGTTTGTGGTTGTAATTTGCAATTTTCTTTCGGCATTTTATGAGTTTATTATCCAAACATTTCCGGCCCATTTCTATTTTTTTTCTTAAATTAGTCCCACATCTCATCTGTACTAGGGTTAAAAATGTGAATGAGGGCATAGAACTTTCGTTTGATTAAATTACACTAATAATTTTAAGGATAAAAATGTAACTTTATCAATTACTTTTATCTTCATTTAAATTTTTCTCATTAAGTCTAATATTCTTTCATTGAATTCCATATATAAACTATTTGTTTCACACACAAAAAATTCCACCAATTAAGTCTGTATAGAATGTTTTTAATGATATCATAATTAAATAAAAAAAATTTAAATATATATAATTTAAAATTGATATGGAAATAAAATATAAAATTTTAAACTAACCTGAAAATGAAATTGTTTTCTTGGTGGTTGGTCACCGGTTCAACCTTTTAGGTCACATGTGCCAATCATTGATTAATAATTAAATAACAAAAGTTTAGAAAAGATAAAAATATAAAAATTATGAATAAAAGATGTAAACTCTATAGTAAACATTTGGACACATCTTTAACATTTTATGTTAGTCACATTGAAAATTATACAGAATAAACAAGAATTATTTTTTTTTAACTTTTTATTAATGGTGTAAATAAACTACATAATTCAAAATTAACCCAAAAGTAAAATTATTTTTCTGTTTGGTATTAGACCAACAATTCAACATTTCAAGTCAAATGTGATAACCCATGAAATTATAATTAAATAAGAAAAATATAAAATATAAAAACACAAAAAGTATATAAATTGTGTAGAAAACATTTGAACATATCTCTAAATATTTTTTATTAATGAACCATATTAAAAGAAATAAATACAATAAATAGGAATAACTTTTGTATACATAAAAATATAAAAAATTTAGAAACTTATTATATACTATCATCAAAATTTGTGACGTAGAAAATGCGTAAACACTTACTAATTCTTTATAAATTTGTCAATCATAAAAAATTCATCGCTCTTGGCATGATAGATTTAATTAGAGTTTCTGATAGATGGACATTTTTTTTTTTCTGTTACTAGTAGTTCTCTTCTCGGTTCATTATATTATTATTCCACATCGATCCCTCAATGTCATGTCCATGTGCACGAATATGGAAACCAAGTTTCTTTGCTTTTACTCCTTATTTGTATGTGTAGATTTGTAGGGGGAAGTCACCAATCACATATTCGGTACAGTACTGCTGATTCAAATTGTTTCAACTTGATACATACTTTTGATTTTTCCAAACACCACACCTTCGTGAACCCAATTTTATACAGATCTAATTATCCACTTTTTCTTCTTAAGTGGCATTTTTTTGTTTTGTTTCTTAGCCTGGTGTTTCGACCACGTCTTCAGTTCTTCTGCACCAGTTGTTTGTGTCCTCATATTGCTGCTATATATGTATGAATATGAATATCAAGACGTGGTCATTAATTGTAATAAGATTTTAAATGAATAATATAAACTTGATTCTGGGAATTAGATAATACTTCACATTTGTTGATGATTTGAAATTAATTGTTGTTTCTTTTAATTTGGGATTATTATATTATGGGGGTGCAAAACTTGTACTTGTAATAATGCTCATTATGATACAAATCGGAATTAATGCATTTTTGTTTCTCAAAAAAAAAAAAAAAGGTATCAACTCTAGCTAGCTATGTAAGGTCGCAGGTACCAGAAGGACAAAATTCCATCTAATCACAATTACTTTCGCTTATCCCTCCGAGATCTGTCATCTGTGTTTGTTAGCGGATGTTGAATGCGAGCAATCCGATTTATCTATCACTCAGATATCCTCGAAACACCAAACGATCTACTTCTTTTCCCTCTCTTTTGTTAGCGGATGAGGAAATTAAAGATGATGAATCAGGTTGAAGACACCAGTTCAGATCTCCTCACTCGTTTATTGAAATCCAAGGGTGGTAATTTCGTGGCTGCAGCTTTCTATATATCAGAGATATTTTCAATATCGGCTGTCTTCTGGAAATCCATTGAAAAACTTGATTCGGTAAGAATCCAAATTTGGCCCCACAGATTGCGCCCCAAAAACATCTCACAGTACATCTCAACCACAACCACGTATTTGAAACATCTCCCAATAATAAATATAGGAGATGATTTCACAGTTCATCCTCAACTGTGAGGGGCAGATGTAAACTCATTGGATAAACCCTTTCCCTTTAGAGTCCGCAGTTTTCATATTTCAACTATGATTTATTTGATAGGAGATATTCTAAATGCAAAGTTGCAAGGGGCTGCCGTCCATAAAAGCCTTACTCTTCTTCATATATATATATGTCTCACAGCACATATGGATGAAATAGTGTCGGACCGAACGAAAGTTTGGCAATGTTTTTGGACCGCTTATGAATTATCCTCTCCCCCTCACTCTAAGGAATCTATTAACAACCTAGAAGGCTAGAATTACATATATTAATAATAATAATTAGTAAAGTAAAAGGGTAAAAAGAGATTGGAGACTTTGGAGTGAGTGGCAGTGCAAGTGAATAGATCTGAAATAAAGGCAGCTGCACATAAAATTTCAATGGTACTACCCAAATCTATATCACTAACTGCCTTCCTTAATTAGAACCCATGCTTAGCGGCTCGCATTCTCTGTGCTTCCAAACTTTGATGCAGACGTTACAACTGACACTCCCACACAACCCTTCCCATCAAGACATCCACCTTCCTCAGTAGCCTCTATGAAATTGGAATTATTTCTTATATACGGATCCAGTAAATCATAACATACAAGTAGTGGACGCGGCTGAAAGTTACGGGTGCCGGAATTTTATATGGATTGGATTTAGGCTTAAGAAATTAGATTTTTTTATTTTTCGGATCATGTTCAAGCTTAATCCTTAGATAGCTCGACCTCGAATTCGGCCTGAATCTAATCCAGTTATATATATATATATATATATGTTGAACACATATTTATATATTTGTATAAATATATATTAGGTAAAGAAGATTTAATCAATTATAATAGCAGAAGTAGGCCAACTGAACTGATGGTGGCTCAGTTGATAGATTCTCTGATTCGTCCGTGTAGAGAGGGGGTCGGAGGGGTTAAGGGAGAGGGGATGGACTACCCCTGTTGTTGTTGTTGTGTAGTCCATGAAGTCAAAAAAAATAACAGAGGTAGGATTTATCAATTTAACAAACTTAACAAATAGTTTTTAAAAAATTTATCCAAAATAAAACTATCAAAATCAACCCATGCGGCCGTGCCCACGCCCACCCGAAAACTCTCACAACTGTTGTTGTTGGTACGTGGTACTGTATCACCGCCTTTCTACGTTTCGCACGTGCCATCCTACACAATGCTACATCATTACACTATTACGAATTACGAGCAGGGGATTCATATATATGCTGGCTTCTACGGCTATACCTTATGATTCATGTACCTATGTCAATACATATGTCCCACATGAGATTGAGAACCGCTGATTTCTGAAGCACCAAGCACGCACTCCTTTATAGCTTATCCTGCTACGCCCACCCAACTCCAGTCTCCAGCTCTTTTCAATATCTCTTGCTCTGCGTTTGTTGTGTCTTCAGTCTTTCTCTATTCTCTCTCTGCGCCACTGCAATCACGAAAGCAACCAAACCGAGAAATTTAAAAATATTCAGTAAATTAATGGGCGAGGTTTTAAACCCCTCTTTCTTCCCCACTCTCTTCCTAGTTTTATCGATTCCCTTTTATATTTTGTTTCTTCTTGTTTCCGGTTTTGTTCTCATAATGGAGTTTTCTTAACTTCATCGTCTTTCAGGAAGAGAAGAAACCAGAGGAAAAGAAAGCAGAAGAAAGCAAGGGAGAAGATGGAAAACAACCGGATGTAGAGAAGAATGAAAAGAAAGAGGAAGCCAAGCCCGAGAAACCAGCTGATGAAAAAGAGGGGGAGAAGAAATCTGAGGAATCCAAGGACTCAAAGGAATCGGATGCCAAGGAAGCCAAGGAACCCCCTCCCCCAGAAGAGATCGTTCTTCGGGTCTACATGCATTGCGAGGGATGTGCCAAGAAGGTTAAGAGATGCTTGAGAGGATTTGAAGGTTCAGCTTTCGTCGGATCAATTCCTTTCATTTCCTTTGTTTCCTTTTTGATTTTTATAATTTCCTTTTCCCTCCTTCCTGCGTCAGACGTCATTCAATGTTCCGCTGTGTTATGTTGGTTAGGTGTCGAAGGCGTTCAGACCGATTGCAAGACTCATAAGGTGGTTGTGAAGGGGAAAACGGCAGATCCGTTGAAGGTCTTGGAAAGAGTTCAACGGAAAAGTCATAGGCAGGTGGAACTCCTGACTCCCATCCCGAAACCCCCGGCCGAAGAGACGAAGAAGACCGACGAGAACAAAGAGAACCCTGAACCGGAGAAGAAAGAAGAGGTCCGTACATCGGGAAAAACAGACTCGGAACAGCATTTTCGGATCTCTCTGTCTCTGATCTAAAACATCTCTTTTTTCTTTCTCCGTATATTTCACTTGTCACTTTTGTTTCAATGTCATTTCTAAGTTGTTTTGAGTTTTTATTCCCTTTTTTTGCAGCCGCAGGTTATTATAGTAGTGTTAAAAGCCCACATGCATTGCGAAGCTTGCGCGCAGGAAATCAGGAAACGTATTCAAAGAATGAAGGGTAGGCTACTGTTCAAGTTCGTCTGTTCGTAGTTCCCTGTGTTTTTTAGTTTTCTTTCGAATTTCTGTACGATTGCAATGAGATCCAAGCATCCAACGGTTTTTACCTGTTTAATTATTTTTCTCCGTCATTGTAAAATACTCCGTTTCTTTAAAAGGTCGCAGCTAATTTCTTCAGATTTCAACTCTTTTTTTATAAAGTAATTCTTCTGAATGATCAACACCTTTCAAGCCTTTGTTATAGTTTATGAACTCAAATTCTCTGCAATTTCAAAATAATAATAATAATAATAATAATAATAATAATAATAATAATAATAATAATAATAATAATAAAACTACTGTGAATCCACTTTTTTCATCACTGTGCTTGAAAGGGAAAATATATTCAGTGGGTCCTCGGAATCCTAATAAATAAATGTAGAATTTATTGTCCGTGGTCATTGCAGTAAATTTTGTTTGAAAGGCCAAAACTTTCCTGCAAAAAGGAACAAAATTTTCACAAGTACGGGTGTCTTAATTTCAGGAGTGCAAGATGCGGAACCAGATCTGAAGAGCTCACAAGTGACGGTGAAAGGCGTATTCGATCCCCAAAAGCTGGTTGAGTACGTGTACAAGAGAACAGGGAAACACGCAGTGATCTTGAAGCAAGAACCGGAGAAGAAGGAGAGCAAGGAAGAGAACGAAGAAAAGAAAGAGGAAGGTAGAGAGAAAGAGAAAGGAGGGGGGGGAGGAGGCGGAGGAACGGGAGATGGGGAGAAGGAGAAGAAAGAAGGTGAAGAAGCGAAACCGGGGACGGAAGAGGAGACGAAAGTGGAGGTAAAGAAGAACGAATTTTACTACTACTACGCCCACCATCCCAAATACGTATACCCTCCTCAGATCTTCAGCGACGAAAATCCCAACGCCTGTTCGATTATGTAAAAATTTGAGCTTGAGAAAGTCACCATGGATAGAAATGGTACAGGGACCAGTGAAGAAGTATTACCCTTTTTCCCACATTATTTACTATTCGTCGTTTTAATTTCGCAATATTGTACATTGCAGATTCCGTTTGGCGTTTCTTTTCTCTTTTCTTTGCATAAAAAGATCTACGGGGCAATATCTGTAGAATTTTCAATTTTGTGAAGTCGCAAGTGTGTAGTTTTTCTTTCTTCTTCTTGTTCTCTCTCTCCTTCAATTGTTGACTGTTATATTTTTATATAAATACAGAAAAAATATGGAACACAGGTTCATTCTCCTTTTCGGTACTTGATATGAACTCTACAGTTTGGGCGCCGATTGAATGAGCGTGCAAAGTGGAACCGACTTGTGCGAATAAGTTAGTGGACCGTCTTGTACAGTGTAAAAAGAGACCTGAGTTTACTCCTTTACCATATATCGTATTAATAAAAGTAGTGGTGGAAGGAATTGGTACCTCGTTACTCTGATAAAAAGTTATATGGTTAAGTTCTCAAGGTTGGGTGGTCTAGACGTTTAGGGCCTTATCGAAGATCGAACCGACAAGGGGGGGGGGGGGAGAGAGAGAGAGAGAGCCTGGCTGTCTAGGCCTCTAACTCCACACTCTATTCTACAGTCCCATTCTATGTGCCCCTTAGATATTGTCATTTTATACTGCAACCCAATGCAGAATTTTGAATGACAGGCCTTAATAGTTTACTGGTAGCTCCCCTATGAATTCACGGTCAGAATTCTCTCATAGTCCACTAATAGTTTATTTTCCCTTTTATTAGTTTCTTTGATAGGGGTCATTTTGTAATGGAATCCACGAGCAAAAGGCTTTTTCTTTTCTGTGTTTCAGAATGAATGTGGTGTAAATTTCGAAAAATACCCCGAGGAAGAATGAGGAGAGTGAGTGATGAGTAAATGTGTGGTTTGTGTTGGAGAATGAGCACAAATTAAAGATGTGTTGACGAGGGAGGGCATGATGATGACATGACCCTCTGCTACGGCCTAGTAGTGAGTGGTGAGTGGTGAGTATTATGGTCACTTTGACGCTTGGGAGGATCGGGATGTGATATGCAGGATTGGAAGCTTTTCTCCGGTTTACTTTTTATGATGCCCGCCTTAATTTGACAAGGAAAAAGGCTCTGAGTGGAGTAGTCAGTAGTCAGTAGTGAGGAAAAGGAGAGAGAGAAGGGGTTTCAGTTTCACAAGGGACTAGGGAGAAACACAAACAGCCAAAAAAACGTCGCACTACTTGGCACTTGTTTTCTTGGAATTATGGAAATCGTCTTTTTAATAAACAATAGATTTTTCATAGGGAGGGGGGAGAGGGGAGGGCGGAATACATTTTCAGAAAAGATGACACCATCTACTTAACTGTGTCAACATCTTTTTCCCCTCCTCTGTTCTTCTTACTCCAGTTAGCTTCTTCTTATCTTATTAAATAGATAAAAGAAAAGAAAAAAAAAAAAAAAAAAAAAGATGACAAGCAAGAGAAGTGAGGTGAGAATCCATTTATTATGAGTTAAATCCGTCTTTTTCCCTCGTATAAATAATTCGCATTACGTGTATATAGGGAGAGCAAATCAGCCCTGCCCCCACGTCTCACAATACCTCCTATCGTATATTAGGAACATCGGTGATTAATACAGAACGTTGTGGGGGGCAATCTGGTGCGGGGGGGTCGAGGTATTTTGATCTACATGCAGCATTCGGGTGTTTTCTTAAACTTCTCTCGGTATTTTCTTTTTTTTTTTGTTCAGTCAATTGAAATTTGAAAACCTATCGACTAGTGTCAAGTGTCATAGGGCCTCTAAATCTCGATGTCCCATGTCTAGCTTGCTGTTTTTAATCTCAAAAGTAAAGTAAATATCCCTTGTGGGAATCTCGAAAACGGCCCTCATACCGCCTTGGCTTTTACAAATCTCTCCAAATAAAAATAAACGGTTCTATACTCGTATCTCATTTCCCAGATTCACCACCTAGGGGCTCGGTTAGAAAGCTTAGGTTAAAGTGAAACCGCATCAACTAAGTGCAAAACCCGTGGAACAGTGGAAATTTTTTAATTAATATCCTGTACTCTGAGTCTATTGTCATTTTGGTCAAATTCTTAAAATATGACAATCCGAGTATCTGCTGTTAAACCGTGTTAAGTGATATTTGGAAAAGACACAAATGTTCTTTAAGTATTATCTAATTTCTTTTATTAATAATTTAAATATTGATAAAAATTTTAATTATCTCAAATTCTTATCTTTCTATTCAAGAAAATGGGATCACTACAATGCCCATTCAAATGTGATCTCAACTTTCTTGAATGAAAAAAAAATTTTAAGATTATTAATTTTTTGTGAATATTTAAATGTTTGATAAAAAAATAAAATAGCATTTAAAAGGCATTTATATCTTTTTTAAATGTCATTTAATGATTGATTAACAATTAATGGATTATTACGTTTTAAAAATTTAATTTCGAAGACCAAAATAATATAGTGGAAAAAGTACAAGATACGAGAATTTTTATTTTATTTTATGAGAGAGAGGGTAAAGTGTTCGAATGGGCTCATTGTTCGAATCCGATTTCGAAATGAAGCAAATGCGGTGATATTCCCGATGCAAGGCTGTAAAAGCCGCCGATCTTGGCTAAAGTTACTGCCATTTCTCTTTTTTCACATCTTTTGAGTTTTGACAACCCGCGGGTAAAATCTTTTTCGTCTGACATCCGGGTTGGTTGTTCGATCCACTGCCACTGGGATGTCTCTTTTGAAAGTAAAAACGCCGCCGAACATAAGATCCCACAAAAGAAGCTAATGACATGAGTTTTCTGTTTTCCTTAGGTTAATGATATTAATAACGACAATATGGATTAGGCAATACACTAAGTAATTTTTATCGCTTAAGCATTTGTATCTTGTAAGTGTGTTTTAAAAAAAAATAAAAAATCCGATATATTAAACCAGTTACAATTATTTGAATTAGTAGTGCTTAAGTCACTTTTTACTACTTATCCATATCCTTTTTGATATACCCTTATTTCTTATAGCCTCTTTCACTTGTAATAAATTATTTCTTTTAATTGAATTTATTAGTGATTTTTCTTTTTATTATAATAAAATCATTTTAATTGATTCTCTCGTTTTATCGCCTATTTGAGATACCCTTGGCCTTTTATTCATGACTTCATTCTTAATCCTATATATTCAAAACATACAGTTGTATTCTATTATAATATATTATAATGTAATGTAATGCCCAATAATATATACATAATAATATTAACTATATGCATATATTCAAAACATATAATTATATTCTTTTTATAACATATACTTTTTACTTTAGTTTCAAAAAAGATTTGAGGCCAAAAGGGGGATTTCTTTGGCAAAAATAGTGAGACACTTTGTGAAGATGTAGATGTTGAAAAGTTACCAAAATAAGAAAAAAGAGATCAATATGATTGGACATCCGATCATAAGTTTGCATTTATGTGATAAAGAATTTCAAATAAAATCTGATTTTATAAAATTGGGAGCTATTTTACTAGCTAGGCTTGTTGGTTTTGATCATTTTTTTTTATCCACTCCGGTTTGGGGGTATAACCAAACTAGTGAGGGCCCGAGTCAAACTGTAAACAATCAAATTAGCCAGTCTAGTCCAATTTTCTAAATACTGATTTTAATATCTGCATGTGAGTTGCACTTATTTTCTCAACATGTTTCTTTTTTTTGGTAAAAACTAGGAAGACAAAATATATTAAACTAGTATCAGGAGACAAAACATCACAAGTTAAGGTCTATTTACGTCTGGGGTGGCCAAATGTTGGACCCACCCTGGCAGGTCCTGTACAAACACACCATACTCCTTTAGACCTTTTCTAGCCAATAGATGAGCAACAGTATTACACTTTCTATTTACATAATTAAACGAAATCGAAAAGCCTTCAGTCAGTAAGTTGATATCCATGCATAAAAAGTTTGCATCAAAAGCTAAATCAAAGTTTCCCGTCTCCAAAGCCTGTACCAGAATTTGCAATCGGATTCCACTAATATATCTTCTTCCTTATACATACTCCAAATCTCTAGACTGTTGAGGATTGCCATTGCTTCGGCTTGGATGGGAAATGAGGCCATTGATTTACCAAAAACTGCTGCTATTACCGTTCCTTTAGCATTCCTTAGAACTGTTCCTCCAAAACCTGAATTCCTTGGACACTAAAAGTTCCCATCCACATTCAATTTAAGGTTCCTTGCTACTCTTGCTCTCCAAAAGGACGGACACTGACCTCTGCTTGGGAAATCATCACACACTCTCTCTCTCCACATCTTGTATGATACAAATAGAGTGACTCTAGGTTGAGGATCTGTATTTTCAAAAACTTTACCATTCCTAGCCTTCCAAATATTCAATAACAATAGAAATGAAAAAGAAAGCCGTTCATCTTTCCTGTCTCAATCTTTTAAGCACAATTCCAACCAAACCGTGATCCATTGATTGAAAGAATTAACATGTTTCTTGGCTACTGCTTAATACTTTGCTCCAAAGTCTTTTAAAATTTCTCTTTTGTAACTGTAGTATATGCCCTAAAGTAGAATGTTGCCATTCATGGCCTAAGCTTTCCTCATTATCCCAACGGAGAACTCTCAGCCCCTCTCATTTTAGCCTTCCTTGCTCCCTCAGGAAACCACCTCATCACTTCCTTCTCCCTCTCTCATAATGACACCTCATCATGCCTGGCCCACCCCTCTTTCCTCTAGGTTTATCTCTTTGGATATCCCTTCCTAAAATCTCTCTCTACCAAAATCTAATCTAATCTAATCTAGACAAAGTGGCACCACTATCCCTCACTTTCTCGTAATTTATTTATAATTCCTATTTATCTCCTAAATTATCTTTAATTTAGTAGAGTTTCTCTCCAAAATTATCTCCAATTCCTATTTATCCGGTCCCCCACTTCATCTATATCAATCAAAAGAAAGTTTCAATTAAAATATTTAAGAATTATTTAAATATTATAACCAAATTATGTAATAACTTTAAAATATTTATTAAAAACACAAAAATATCATAGGTTTAATAATATTCATATTATTAATAATTTTACACTTTTATGAAATTCATAATGAAATTGTGTGTAAACAATATAAATTATAATTTTACAAATTATTTAAATATTAAAAATTCAAAATTAGCAAAATATTGTTTAAAAATTTTAGTAATTAAATTAAGAATATTATATAGCAAAATATTTAATATTATGTAATAAATTTAAAATAAATAAACTTGAAATAATGAAAT